AGTGATGAATTAATCTTCGCAACTGTCCACTTCCATATTTGTTATCACTTTGAGATCCTTGGGAACAGGGTAGGGGGTCGCCATGGGGTTGAGGGTGAGGGGTTGGGGGTCACACTGCTTTTTCTATTTCTATGTCTTATTCCACCTATTGTAACTATACTGTATTGTACATGTTGTTGTGGATGTAAAACAACTAAAATAAAAACATGTGATTGCAAAAAAACAAAAAAACAAAAAAAAAAAAAAACAAATGAAAAGTTTTCCAACGTGTGGAAAACACATTGAAGCAGTCACAGTTGATCAGAACTGTTTTTAACATAGTTTTTTCAGATAAGAGTCCAGAGCTGAGCTTAAACACTTGGTGACGGTGTTGCTTTCTGTTTTATCTTCTTGACTGCCCTCAGCGGTACACCCTGACATTGTTCCCTCGTGTCTTTCAGGTCGGCCCACAGCTCGACTACTTCTCTGGGGCTTCGCTTGTGGACCAGAAGGATGGTGTGATACGAACACGGCTGTGCCTCTTCCTTCTCAGTGAAGTCGAAGGTGAGGAAAGCCGGGTGGTGGATGGGTTGGGCGTTGAGCCGAATCATGCACATTCCGACGTAGACGTCGTCAATAGGAAACAGGTGGATTATTTTAGAGATGTTGTGCAGGCGTCTAGTCAACTCCCCAGAGTACACCACCCCTCCTCCGCCCGCGTACATGGGGTAGAACCCCCTGTAGAAGCTCTCTGGGATAAAATACTTTGATCTCCTCACTCGGTTGGGCAAAGCAGACCCTATCACCTCGCCGACCATGAACTCATGCAGGGTGTTGTGGGATCTGTGCTTCTCTAGCTGATCCTGGAGGTAGCTGATCAGCTTTGGGGTGTTGACGAAGACGTCATCGTCTCCCTTCAAGACAAAGAGAGGCTTACTGCAGTGGCGTGAGAACCAGCTCCAGAAGAGCACGTCCTTCAGAGTCAGGTTAAAAAACGTGTCTTTGAAATCCCACTGCAGAATGTCTCTGTGACGCTTACTTTCTGCTCTCAGTAAATGGGATATGTCTACACCCAGGTCTTCTGGAGTTTCTTTGCCCAGTAAGAATACCCTTCGGATGTATCCTCCGCCCACATCTCCGTCGCTGCCGTTGATCCTCTGTCCCTCCACCCATCCGACACGACCCCAAGTCTGTCGAATGACCCGTCGGTTCCTGAAGTTTAGCGCCGTTGACTTGATGGCAAAAAGAATCAGCGGAGGCTCCTTCTCCTGCTCTGACTGAGCTCCACACTCTCCATCTGGTTGGATGAGGATAGGGTAGTTCCTCTTGTGCATGCTGCTTGCAAATTCTCGTACCTGCTGTGGCAGTCTCTCAAAATTCTCCCTCACGCTGGCCATGCCGGTAACTTCAAAGTAGCTTTGGTGCAGCAGAGACTCGTCAGAGCTACTTCGTTCTAACAACATGTCGGACTTTTCTTTGCGGATGATGGGGTTGAAACGGTGGTCGACGTGCCGTTGAAGCCGGTTCCACAAGGCATCGCTTTGCAGATGCTGTTCCCAGAAGGTTTTAGGGACAGAGGGACCGCTGCCGTTGCTCGAAGCACCTGCGGCTACAAAATGGGGGCTTGCCAGATTTGGGGAAACCATGGCGATGTGTCTCAACACCATTGAATTCATGTGCAGATAAATGGTGATGATGGCGTAGCTGTAGAGCAGGGTAAGGCAGCAGCATGGCGTACACATGCAGATCAAGATGTTTCTCAAGCGACAGCAGCGTCGTGCCATCCAGCTGGGGATGAATAAAAAAGTTGTGTTAGTTTGGAGAAATCCAACGGCGCCAGACTCTTGATATAACCGTTCCATGTTTACCTTCGTTTGGAGTTACAATAATATGAATTATGTTACGTTTAGTCAAACATTCTGGAAAAATTCAATGCTTTGCAAACATTAATAACACATGATCTTATTCGCAATTTATCATACAACCAAAAACTTTAACGTGTTAGAATTTTACTGGTCTAGCACAAAGAGAAAATCTAAACTAATCTAAAAGATAAACTAACAGTTTAGATGGATAGTCATTTGTTTTTCCATACAATACTCTAGTGATAGTTTTTAAGTTTATTAATTAGCTTTTCACTGAACTTTTAACATATTTTTAAGATTTCTTTCAGCTGCTTAAGTTTTGGAAAAGTAAATTCTTCTTTCAGAACAAGGGCAACATGTTTTCATTTACATGTGCGGCACATGTGTGTATTTGAATGTGAAATAAAGTTCCAGCTCTGCCCAAATCATTTGTAGCCCAGGCAATTTCAAACTAGAAAGCATAATCATTCAAACAGAGTTTGTTTGTTTGTTTGTGACAGTTTGTGAAACTCAGTGAGATGATCAAAACTTGACACACGCTTTATAACTTAGGTCTCTACGACTTTGTTTCAGACAATGTGGGGCGCTCTTCGTGATCTCAGAGAGTTTGAAGACATTAAGATAATTGGCATAATGTATCCTACTGGCTACTGGCTTTCTAACCACACAGCCAGACAGAGACATAAAGAGGAGCAGCAAAAGCAAAGCAGGGAGATTAGCAGTGCCAGCCAATAACTGATATCATCCAGGAAAGGTTACTTTGGAATATTGTCTCTGCTGCCTGGAATTAGCATGTTAGCACGACATCCAGGAGGCTGTCATACAAGCAACAGTGTCTTCAGACAGAGGTCTCTTCAGAGCCGTTGAAATACTGACTGCTACTGCAGATCCTTCCTGCCTCTCTGTGGATACTTTCATCATATGAGCTGCAACATTTAATTTCCCTTTGGGGAAAATAAATCATTTTTGAGCAAAATCGAGCTGTTCACTATTGTTCTGATGAAATTAAACTTTTCCTTCCTCTTCACAATTATTTTCTAGAATTTGCTGTCTGTCACAAAAACCCAACAGGACACTTTAAGATTTATCGTTGTAACGTGGCAAAATATGAAAAAACAAACAAAAAACAACAACAACAACAAAAAACATTGAATCAATTTGGAAAACTGGGCGTATGTTGGACTAACTAAGCTTCTAGAATCATTCCTGGAAACTTAAGAATGTGGTTAAAGCACGAATTGTGTAATTTAACCTGATACTATGCTGCAGACATCAGTGATTTTTATTTATTTCTAAAATAAATAAAAATAACACATCAGAGTAGCAAAATAGAGAATTCACATTTAGAGTGCGACGATATTTTGGAGTAACTTTAGTAGGAAAAACTACACCAAAAAAGGTGGAATCATTACAAATAATCAGTAAAACTTGTTTCACAGTTGCTTTTTCCTCATCACCTTGCCTGTGACATCCACTTTGCTATAAAGCCACACCTTCAATTTCACAAAGTTGGTGTAAAATCACATAAAAAAGAAGAAGAAGAAAAAAATACTCCACGCACTGTAAAAGTGTAAAACACACTCATGAGGTATTTTCTAACTTCTAACAGAAATAATTTGTCGATCAAAACTTTGTGCGACTGTGAATGAAAAGTTTCCTCACCCGTTTCAAGCGGAGTCCTGCTGGCTCAGTGAAAACTCATCCGTTTACTGGAGCTGCAGGCGTGAAGTGGAGGCGTTCCGTGGCCGACGGAGCTGAAACTAGAACTGACCTGTGAGGTGGCTTTGGATGAAAGGGAATTTGTCAGACTGCTGATGGATACACCCACCATCAGGCAGACAGAAACCACAGAGCAAGAAATACGATGTTTCTATCTCCAACACTAATGGCCCAGGGTGAAACCGCCGGCCGGACCGGAGGCGGGCCAGTCGCCGCTGTCAGGTCGTCTTTAATCTAAATACAGTTTACAGCAACTTGCATTATTAGATTTTACTTCTAAAATTGACAGGGTTTTTCCTGCAGGGCTCGTTGTTTGCTTCTGCATTGTTGTATTATTTGGTCATGGCCCTTGGCAGAGCAATTGAATAATTGAAACGTCACATCATCCAATTATAAAAGGAGTCTTACAGCTTGCAGGAAACCTCCTCGTTGGCATTCCTTCCATAGAAACCCAAATTCCCACCAAACGAGTAGGCCCGTCTTCCTGCGGAGACGTCATCCCGTTGAGCAGACATTCCCGCCGAAGCCATGCACTCTGCAGGGCGAAGAGGAATCAAGAAAAACTGATTTTTAGAATGTTTGTCCCCAAAAACAACAAAAAAACAAACAAACAAACAAAAACCTCTGACACTTGTATTGCAAAACTTGTAGAAAGAAAAACCAAGGCCATGAAAATTTCCAGAACAAGAATGTTTTAGCGGTGACTGAGACGGTTTATTGTTGTCAAAATAGAAGGTTTTCACCACAACTGCAGGACATTGTTTTACGTGTTGCAAGTTCGGAGGCGAGGGGCCTTTCCCACATTTACTGATTTGGATTGAAATTTAGGGGAATCTGCAGGAGCCAAGTCAGTGGTGGTGTGCTCCTCAAAACCACGTGTTACAGCATGAGTGTAATTAATGAGACCGTTTTAATGGGGCGTTCTATTTTTAATAAATGTGAAAAAAAAATCTCAAAAACCTTTTTTTTCCCCCCAAAAACCCATGATCCGGTTTTTGTGTGTAGAATTTTGAGAGAAGAGATGAATTTAATACAATTTGGAATAAGTCTGTAACAAAGTGTGAAAAGTTGAACCTTTTGACTGAAAACTATGAAGTGATGTAGTTTAGGGTTGTTTACAAGGATGGGGCCCCAGGGCTGGAAACTGCTTTGGTGCCCCATCCACCAAAGAAAAAATATTTTGCTAATGCAAATTACAATGCGTCATTAGGTTGCTCTGTACATAACTGGGTATGAACTGATGATAGTAGGCCATGTTATCAAAAAAATAAAAATAAATAAAAATCTAAAACTTCATTGTTTTCGAATACTTGAGTTTTGTCATGCAAATATAAAATTTTATTACAACTCACCTGGTAAGGGCCTACGACCATAACTTATCATTTCTCGCATCAGGCGTCACTTTTCACATTGACATGTCTGTGAAACATGCGTTCATTAATATAAAAAAAAAATTAAAAAATTTAAATCTAAGAGATCTAAACTCCTAAAATAATTGACACCCTCTCAATACAAGTTGATGGATGGATGGATGGATGGATGGATGGATGGATGGATGGATGGATGGATGGATGGATGGATGGATGGATGGATGGATGGATGGATGGATTATAACTTAAGTTGCTTTCTTTTTAAACCTTTTTGGTTTTTCCATGTCCTGGATGACTGACAACATATAAGTAGATTAAAAAAATGAATATCTGGGAAGTATCATAACTTAAACCTAACACTCAAAGCACCAGGGTTTTTAGAGTAAAAATATTCAGATTTTATTTTGTAGTATTAAAGGCTCTATGTTGAAGATGGTAAGAAATATATATTTTTTACTGTCAGCTGCTCTGACAGTAAAAAATAGGAGGAGCCCTTCACCCCCTCCCGAAATCTCCCACTCCTTGTGAGGTTTTCATCTCGTTTCTGATCAGAAACAAACTTCTTAGCCGAAAGAAAATCATCTTAAGTCTAAACCTGACAGGCTTATGAATAATTTTAGGCTTACTTGCACATATTAGATAACTCTTCTTGAACACTTGTCCATCATAGGCTTGCAAACAGTTCTGAAAATGTTCATTTCTAAAAAGAATACAAAGAATGTACATTATACTCCAGTAACTAACATTTCATAAACCAAGAGTTCAGTTCAGATTAAGTTCAAGGTAAACACTGCCCTCTAGTGATGCAATGTGAAACTGGAACCCCATTCTTAACTTTTTTTTTTCCCAGACTCAACAATCTGTCACTTTTCTTTCTTTTCTTTTTTTTTTTTTTTTGGGCAACTTTTGCAAAGATGACAGGACGTTTTCAAAATTGTAGGAATAAAATTTTATTTTCCATATGAAGGGGTGGTTTTGGATTTTTCTTCTTTTACAAGTAGTATGTTTTTGATAAAACTTGCAAAAAATTTCCTAGCATATTCCAAGAATGATGGACATGAAGAGAAGGGGAATTTATTGCTGGATGTTTAAAATTATGACATTTTTTTTTTACTTGTTTATTGTTAATATTCTTCTTTCTTTTTTTTTTTTTACTGAGTGGAAAAACAATTTGCTTGCTGCTTTTTCCATGCACCCAACTACCAGTACCACTAGGACATGCAGGGGAGGGGAGGGAGAAAAGGGTGGAGCTGGAAGTGAGGGTAAGGAGAGGGAATTGGCAGGTAAAAAAGACAAACTGCTTGACAAACAAACGTTGAAGGGCTGTGTGTCTCTCTCTCTGTGTGATTGTGTGTGTGTGTGTGTGTATTAAAGTTTGAGTGTGTGTCAGTGTGTGTATGAGTGACATTTATGTGTGTATGCGACAGGTGGGTGGGGAAGTGTGGGGTGAGGAGAAACAGGGTGGGGACGGGGGAGAGAAGTTGTTAAACATTTCGACTAGCTCTAGAAGCACACTATCCTCACTTGCTGATTTTTCCATGTTGTAAAATCCCGGACTGATTACAGTGACAATACGATAGAACTATAGGCGGAACGTTTTTTTTGGGGGGGGGGGGGGGGAAAAATACCCAAATGATTCACCTCTACTGGGATTCCGAGCGGGATTTGTCACCTTGTTTTTTTTTTTTGTTGTTTTTTTTTTAAAGATACTCTATATCTCTGATCCATGCATCGTCTGTGGAAGGAAAGAAAACAGAACCTAAACAGGGGAACGAGTTCTATGGGACACAGTGACGTTCATCCTCAAAGAGTCTCCAAGGGGTGGAAGAGTTTTGGTCGGCCTAATGTGAGTGTGCTGCTCTGTGTGTTCCAGACGAGGGGTTTAAATTTCTCCGCTGGTTGCTTTCGGATGGTCTTAAGATGGTGAGAGGAAGACATGACGGCGGGAGATGGTGGGGAAAAAACCCCCAACAACAACAACAACAACAACTCCTGTCAGGCGCCATGACGAAGCAAAAGAAGCTCAGGCGATCAAAATGTCGGAATCACAACTGAGGACGTTTTAACCTGGATTATCACACACACCGCCACACAAGTGTGCTTTGTCGCCTCTTAATTCACGTCCAAGCTGTGCCACCCACTACCGTGACGAAAACACGTGGAAGTTTGGAAAAGAAAAGACAAAAACATCAGGTGCATCTCAGTAAATTCAAACGTCATTCAAATGAATTCAAAAGTGAAACTCATATGGTCTGTCAGAAGCTGCGTTTCCTTTGACCAATAATTGCGCAATTTCAAATTTGGAAAATAAATTTGCTCAATGGAAACACGCCATTTAAAAAAACAACTAAATTTTTGATAAGACGTTTTGCATTGAAATTGGTTTATTTTTGAAAAACTGCAATGGGAACACTAATCATGCCACACCAGTCATGAGATCGACAATTGGTTGTTACCACTGGCGCAAAACACTAAGAAGAAAACAGGAAGTAGTGGCATGTTTTTAACGACTCATGTAAACAAGCTTATTCACATGTAGGTTTAATTGCGTTTCTCATTTAATGGGAACACAGGAATTACAAAATTTTTCCCCCCCCCCCAAACATTAGCAGAAATATCGACAAAGTTTTGCGCACATTTCTAGCAGAAAAGAAGCTAGAGTTTCTCCTAGAAACTACTACTACTGGAAGTGCGTTGGGGTGTCAAGTCCTGCCCAGAGCCGGATTTTCAAGGATGTGGGCCCCTGGGCTGGAGACAGTTTTGGTACTCTATCCGATAAGGAAATATTCAATTACTAATGCAAACTACAGTGAATCAGTAGGTAGTCCTAAACACCAGCAGGTATGAACTGATGCGTCATAGGTTTAATACGTCCTCAGCCAACAACTCCATGTTGTTCCCAAACAAATCTGTTATTACTTCATAATGTTCAAATACTTGAATATTTATATTAATAAAAATAATAAAACCCACATGATTTGGGCCTACGTGTTCTACATAAGGTAGAGTGTTTGCGAAACATGCATTCAGTAAAAAGAATAATAAATAAAAAATAAAAGAAAATCTTGGGGCACCCAAGATTTTTGGGTGCCCCCAATTTTTGGGGGGCACCCCTCCTCCCTATAAAATTGGGGGCCCTGGGCTATTGCCCCTGTAAGCCCTTTCTACAGTGTGGCGTAACTCCTGCGGGAAAATGAATAAGAATGGAAGACATTCTGTACTGACTGGAACTGATAAGCACAGCGGACTCACATCAGCAGAAACGTCACTGGACCTTAAGCAGAGTGGATTCTGAGCCTCTCTGCTCAAACTCTGGGACACTGACTTCAAAGTGAAATGCAAAATGCACAGCACCTTTTGTATTTTCATTGATGGTCGTTGCTGGACAACTGCCGAATCAGACCCTCGCTGTGAAGGCCATAATATAGTACTCCTGTTGCACATTCGTTTATTGGCATGATGCCAAAGCTCCTGCATCACTTTGCATGCGAGATAAACAATTTGATCACTTTGGATTTGCAAAAATGGATTCTGAATGCTTTTATACACCATGTATAAGCAACATGTGCAATCGTTATGGAAACAAGACAAACTCCTGGAAACTGGAAGCTAGCCATACCTTCTGCTGGGCCACTAATTACTTAGAGGAATAACCTCTAGATTGGTATTTGATCCACAAATATGGGAAAAAATAATAACATAAAGACATGGTAATGTCAAGGCAAAAGTAACTTGCTCCGCTCTGTGAACTCCACACTCTTGATCCCAATTAAAACAGCATTCAGAGAGGGATCAAAACAGGTTATTCAAAGATTAGCATGGACTTGATGTTTCACAGCGAACACAGAGCTGGGCATGTTTACATTTTAAATCTTTTCAAATTGTTTTCTGTGATATTCTAATTTTGGAAACCAAAATTTTGGGCTCTCATTAGCTGTAAGCTAGCCTAGCCATGACCTTCCTGCACATTTCCACTCAATTATGATCTCGCTTCACAGCACAGCTCTGTTCGAAACAAATAACACAGAACAAGGTGCTTATTCTTACCAGGCTAGCTGTAAGCTACAATCACCATAATTCAATTCAGCCATGGACTCTGATGACATTTTAAATGTTATAAAGTCGATAAAGTAAAAAACAAGCAGACTACAATTCTGAAACAACGCAGGAAAATCAACGTCTTCGTTCACAGCTTCACATTCTTTTCGCTGATTGGCCCAGTAGAAATCCTACCGGAGCCAATCCTTGTAAACGGGAGAACTGTCTGAAGCGAGAAGATTTTAATGGAGCGGAGAAGCACAGGAAGGCAATGACCAGGCTACTAAATGCTTGAAATGCGTCGTTTTGTGTGCAACGCCTCTTCATAATATATGAGTTCCACTTTTCGAATTGACTGAACCGTTTTGATGACATTGTAATTTTCTGAGCTGCACTTGGGAGCCGGGATGACGTCGTCCTCTCGGTGTGGGTGTGGCGTGAGGCAGAATTCCTAGCAAGGCCCCGGATGTGCCCTCAGCACAACGGCGTTCTCCGACTTCACCGCCAACATTTTTGGATAAAACATCTACACGTGCTCACTTACATACTTACATACATACAACTTTTTGAATATTAATAATAAGAAAAAAAAATCTGTGAATTTCCAATACCGTTCCCAACTTCAGCGCCCTAAACTTGTGGCTATGAGTCTTTTTTTTTTCTTCTGTTAACTTGACGGAAGTGAGTGCGGTTGGGCGGTGGTATGGGTTCTGGCCTCGTGGACTGATCTGATACTGGGATGACGGGGACGGTGGAGGGGGCCGGGGGAGGCTCGGTCTGCTGCGAGTCGTTCGGCTGTGATGCGATGGGGAAAGTCCTGAGACACAGTGCGGCTCTAAGCTGCTGGCATAGGAAACGGGCGGGGGGCCAGGCAGTCCACGGGAGGCCAGAGTCAGGCTGGATATTACAACTGGACTGGTCGGGTTCAGTTCGGGTCGGGCGGCTCCCTGGCTCGCGCGAGGGAGGTGCTTACAGTGCAGTGGAGCTTCTGGCAGCGTGGCGACCGGCGGACGCGTCAGGTGAGGGACCGCAAACTAGGCTTTATGAAAATCTCACACACACACGCACACACTAATGTAATGACAGCACCCTGAACATCTACACGGATATCTGAGGTCGCCGTCCCTCTACATACGACACCTGACCGCCCTTCTTTCCGACAGAAACTACGAGAAGATGAGTGACGGGCAGCAGACATGGACGCGGCTAATGACAGATGCGTGTTCGTCAGAGGAATCCACCCTACACATCCGGCTGGACCACCGCGCGGGGCGAACTCATGTAAACAGACACCTTGTACACAGAAGGAATCGATATTGCATGATGACATAATCAGATCACAGTTCAAAAAGAGGAAGATCCCAAATCAGAGCGAAACATAATAATAATAATAAAAAATAACAAAAACAAACCCAAACCAAAGCATTAGGAAGGAAGAGGGTTGGTCTCTATAAAAATGAGGAGTCTTTATAAGAAAAGCTACAAAAACTCAACGGGACCTCCGACTTCAGCATACAGCAAAAGGCACCACAATATTATTCTATTTATCTAACTTGTGAAAAAATTGGCACGTAATTCTCCTTTTTTCATCTCTCATAATGCTGTAAATCAAAAAACTTTACATATAAATATCCCCCCGTTATAAAAAAAGTCTTTGCTGTTAGCTAGTAGACAATTTTTGCTGAAATGAAAATAAATATTTCATTTGTTTAGAATATCTGTCTGTTATACAAAATAAAAATATTTCTCCTAGGTGCAGGTCTCTAGTCCACTGGTTCTGTGAAGGAGGGAGGAGAGGAGGTGTGTGAGGTGGCGGGGGTCGTGGCGGGACGGGACAGGACGGGGGTGTTATGGGTGGGTGTCGGGGGAGGTCCGGTCTTAAAGGGGCATGTTGTCGGCTTTGGAGCGCTGTGACTGGGAGCTGCGGCTCTGCCCGTTGCTGCGCGCGCTCGGCCGACTCAGCCCACGGTGAGTCCGTGTGTCCGCGCCGGACGACGAGCGGTACCCCGAGCCGGTCAGCGGCTGGTCCATGTTCATGTTCTGCATACTGAGGAAAGGCGTGCTCTCCCCGTGAGCGTCCTCATCCTCGTCCTCTTCCTCCTCCTCCTCCGACTGACTGAAGCTCTGCGAGCTGTAGTCCCGAAAGCCCGCTGAGCGCTGGGACGTGTGTCCATTGAGGCGGTTGCGCCGCGGCCGGCGCCGGCTCCGGATGGGTTCCCGGGAGGAGGCATACTCTTGCGTCGTCTCGTAAGCTTCGTCGTCCGGGAGGTGGTAGGGGCTGGACGGTAGACTTCCTGTGCTCTCTGTCAGGTAGGGCCGCCGGGGTCGTCTGGGCTGCCTGTATAAACTTCCGTCCTGGTGCGAAACAAGGGGAACGAGTCAGAGAAATCTGATGTTTGCTGAGAACGAAACTTCAGAAGCAGTTAATCGATAAAATATTCGATAAGTATTGGACATCTGCAAATCCTTGAAATATTAAGTTGGTGCAGAAACTTCAATGTATTTTGCAATATAATGTAGTGAGTGACAAAAATATTAATCACAACACATATTTTCACAGTGTTCCAATTTTTTTCCCAGCTCCTAGGCTTTTGCACATCTTTTGCCTGTCATGATAGAAAATTCCACCTGGCGGCCCGTCACTTTGAAAAGCACTGTTCTGACCAATCACGATCTTTAAAAAGATTAATGATTTTGGCTCAAACCAAATTTTTGGTCTGCAAAGTTGCTAGCGACAAAGTTGCTGAGTTGGGCAACAGGGCAGTGACTGTTGCTAACCGCACACACATGCAGACGTGACATGGTGGTCGTTTCTGTCAGTCGGACACAGAAGTCAAAATCACAGTTTTCAGATTTTGTTGTAAACAATTTTGAAAATCCTACACCCTTGTCTTCCACTTCACAGTAATGTACTTTAAGAGGTCTTTCGTTCCTCGTCTTGTTTCCCTGCTACCGTCTAATGACATCGCTAAGCGTGCGTCATGTCTGCCTACGTACTTCGGGGCATCTTAGCAGTGGTTGGTCGTCGTCTCTGTGGTAAGCCGCGGCAGCAGGGGGCAGGGAGAGGGCGTGGCTTGTGTTGGGCGAGGTGATCTGGAAGGTGGGCACCTGGGGCGGCAGAGGTGGGTAGTGGAACTCCACAGGAGACAGCCGCGCCGGCGTGGTCAGCGCCGACACGTATCTGGACGGAGAAAATAAAGACAAAAAGCAAACAGAACAGTAACTGAAGCAGCAGAAACCATGAATCTGACTCTCAAATCAAGATATTTTAAGATATTTGATCTCACATGGCTGCTGAGCGAGTGTTTAAAGTACCGATACAGACATTTCCCCATGACTGTGATGAATTAGTTTTATCCTTCAGTTACCGCTACATTTGTGTAGCTATAAATTCAAATGTGAGCTGGGTTAACTTTTACCTTGTTGTGTGTTTCTACTAAAGTGGTTTAAGAACAAGAAAACAGAAAGCTGGATGGAAACATCTCTGAGACGTCAGACACTGGGTGTTTTCACACCTGATAGTGCGGTGGACTCAGTTCCATTGGAGGTCAAAGGTGCAACATTTGTTACATGTTCAGCTGCTGAGTTTTGCTTTCACAGTGCACTGTACCAAACGATACAAGCCACTTGAAAAATCTGTTCACCTCCTCGCCTGTGGTGGCGCTGCACCAAGAATCACTGAAGGAAATGACACAAAAACCACTGGAGAAGACGCTGAGCTCAGCTTCCTTCTCCACAAAATGTAAACAAAAACGGAGTGGGGTCAAATTTTGTAGGATTTCTCTTTTGTCTTTGGTAAGCAACCACGAGTCGTTTCTCCTGCTCGCGCTATCCCTAGGGCTTTTGTTTTGGTTGTATTGACCCACAATGCCCAGCGCTATAGTCCACTTCCTGCTTTTGGAGCAGTCTCTGGTCTGTTCAGCATTCACACCGCACCAGAACTCACTTCAGCTGAACCGAGAACGAGGTATTTAAGCGGACCAGAGTTTGATCTGGACTTTCTGACAAACCAGAGTTCCATTAAAGCCAACTAAACATGGCTGGTGTGAATGCAGCCACTGTCTCAGTGATTCCCTTCTTGAATCATTTGACATGTAGTCGAATGATTCAAGTTCACATGTTAAATAAGCCGAGATCACCAACGAACCTCTGATACAGAATATATGTTTGATAACAAAATCATGTCAATGTCAGCTCTTGCTTACATCACACTTGTTGTCGATGCAGTTTTAAAGATGACAGATGCTTAATGATTTAGTATTCTGAACCAGTTGTCCCAAAAGAGGCTTTTCTTTACCTGTCACTGTGAGGCGAGTCTCTTAGAGAGTCGTAAGAGTCCCCGTACTGCATCCCCATTCCCGACACGTCTGTGCAACCGTAGTTGGCGGCCCGCCTCGCCATGCATGCCGGGCTGCTGCACTTACTGGTTCCCACGGAGCTGGAGAGCCCACCCGACTGGCAGTCTGAGTTCACGCTCTCTGTCCGCTCCATGCTCCACGTCTGCTCCTCGTGTCTGCAGGTTAGCATCAGGTGTGAAAGATTACAGCAGCATTAGCAATGTGGAGCTGCGTAAATTGAAAGCATAAAAACTACGGAGACAGATTAGGGCCATAACTATTAAATCAATCAGTCAAGTTTATTTGTGTAGCACATTTCAACAACAAGGCAGTTCAAAGGGCTTCGCATCATAAAAAACACAAAAAACAAAGTCATCAACAATTGAAACATTACATTTTGCCGAGTGCCGTCGTTATGGCACTGTTGGTATCAAAATGTTGGTTGGTATTTCGTTTATTATGGTTCAAAAGCCACTCTAAACTTTTGGGTTTTTAGAGTACCGGTAGATTTAAAGGAACTCGGTGTTTCGCCAGTTTTCCAGTTTTCCGGATGTTTGTTCCAGATTTGTGGTGGATAGAAGCTGAATGCTGCTTCTCCATGTTTGGTCCTCCTGATATTTGCTAACTTGAAAATAAATGATTGAAAACTGACAGAAAGGAGAGCTAAAATCGAAAGCTAACTTCTGATCTAGAACTCCGAAATGGAAATAATGAATAAAAAAAAAAACAAAGTTAGAGGGAGTGAAGCTAATAAGATAAATATATTGTCATATTCAGTAGCTAAGAGTATTAATGAAACGTTGTCCAGGTGGATCCAGTCTCTCACCCAAAGATATCGACATCAGCCACAACAAGATAAAGACAATGGATGAACGGATGGATTCACTAAAATTCTTGGAAGCCTTTAATGCTGTTAATTAATCGTAATTTTCTGCTTACAGTTAATGAAAACACAACATTTAAAGATTAGAGCATCAAACTATTTTTAATACTAAAACGTGTTCTTTAGGAAAAGTACAGCTGTAAACCGTAGTTGAGCTACATCAAAATAAAGACATGCTGACATGTTAACAAGCTAATAGCTCTGTGGTGTTTGTAGCTTGTGAGCTAGCAGACTGCTACAGATGCCTTTATCTTCCTCTTGTGACAAGAGAAGAGTGACAAGACTTTGTCTGCTGGTTATGTTTAGCTACCAGCGATGATGAAAAGCTGTTACTGTGTAAAATACTGCCACAACAGACAACATTAACTCGTAGCGCTGTTAGCTCTACAAGCTAACTGCCAGGCTTACAAGCTAGTCTGTTTCCAGACATCCTACTTTCTGGAAAAACAGAAACATTAAACCTACAAAGAAATACATTTTGAAAGTGTAAAAAAGCATATAGAGGGAAAAAACATAAAATTGAAAGCTGTTAGAAAAATATTTATCGTATACATCGCCACCATACTAGAATAATGGCCTGTTTCAGTTTTGCCAAAAGATGATACATAGACCAAAGGGAAAAAAAAAAATCACTTTTGGCAAAAAAAAACTTACATAGTACAATTTTAAAGTTAGGCCTCAATATATGAAAAGCTTAATACAAAAATACTACATGGAATTACATTTTCATTCAAACTAAAATGAAATTTTGCTTCACTTTTAAAACTTTTTTTTGTTTACAGAGTTCAAGATAAAAACTTCTTTTCATCATTTTGGCACTGATCTTGCTCCATAAATAATAAAAACTTTTAATATGCCACAGTTTATTTTTAAAGTACAAAACTTTTATTGGACTGGTTGATTTTGCTGCATCAGTTGATGCCTTTGCCAACACACTTGGCTGCTCGGCCGTTTATTGTGTCCAGGTGTCGCGCGTGTGCGTGTGTGTGTGCGTGTGTGTGTTTGGCCTACCTGGAAGCATGTGAGGCAGTGGTGGAGTGATGGGAGCGGGTTGACATTCGACTGCCTGCATAGTTCCCAGCACCCTCAGCTCCATGGCTGATCACACACTCCGTCGTCGGGACGCTCTTTGGGATGTACTGCAAAATCAAACATAAAAACATGATTCACTGCATTTCCTGCCTCCCCGTCTTCTAAACTCACTCGGCGAAGTGGGGCGGACGATTAACACACGCAAATTACACAAATGTAAATCTGACAGCCATTACAAGGAGATGCTTCGGCATTTTATCGGCCTCCGTCTCTGCTGACTCATGGCCGTTACGTCTCCAGGAGAGCGATAGGTGTTTTTCTGCTCTCTCCTTAACATCTATCAAGTATGTGGCACTAAATGTCCCCCCATGTTGTCAGCGGATCAGAGTTTTAATAACACAAACACCCTCTTGGAGGCAGAGCTGCACTGAGGGCTAAAAGAACTTTAATTGTTGTGTTAAATTTTAAGTCCCAAAGTGAAACAGGCTCCATCAGCAGCGGCGGCTAAGCAGGCAGCCGAGGCTTACTGCGCAGTTTGCCTCCTTTGTCCTTGCTTTAGTATTCATGAATTTCCTGGGGTATTTCTTATAGACAACAAAATTATAATTAAAGGGCAGTAAAATTTAATTAAACACAATGATATATCTACTCTTATTTGAGCAGTTGCTGTAGGCCTTTGCTGAAGATTGGACACCCTGTAAAAGCTCAAAACAAGAGATAAAATAACAGCTATTTTTAACGTGATGCTACATTCATGTTTGGTGGGAAAAAAACTGAAAATCTCTAGACCAAAAAGTACCTTTTTCGCTATTTTGACCATTTCTCATTTTCTGGAAATAAATATTGGAATTTCATAGACATGCTGTCAGCAGCTCATAGAATAAAAGAACAATGTTCATTTTACTCAAACATTTATCGGTAATGAGTAAAATCAGAGAAACTGGTCGTTTTAAGTGGCCTCTTAATTTTTTTGCAGAGCTGTACATATTTAAATTCTAGCTTGATTTGCAAAAGTACTGACACCAACTGATTTTTTTTTTTGTTTGTTTTTTTTTTTTAAAGTTCTGTTGCAACCACAAGAATTTATGTATTTTATTGGAATTTTACATGACGGTCAAACCCAAAGTGCCACATGACTAGGAAATAGAAAATTGCTTAGTAGTTAATGTTTTTTTTCTTTACAAATAAAGAAAATAAAAGTCAGGCATTAGTTTGGACTCCATCTCCATCCTACATGGATACGTTGCTGGTCTGGCTGCAGTTCCAGCTGTAAGCCTTAGGGTGTTAGGGTCTCCACCAGCTTTACACTGAACATTTCAAACGGCTCAAGCTCGGCCACACTGGTCTCAGACCGTCTCTGAAGAGCTCATTTCTAATCTTACTGCAGATTTTTAAACAGATTTCAATGAAGTTGAACCTCTTTTTGCAGCCTGTTAAAGTTTTTTCCCCCATCATCTCCCTGTATTTGGCTTCCCATCAGCACTAATTAGCTTTTCTGCAGATGCTGAAATAAAGCATCCCATAGCATGATGCTACCACCACCATACTGTCTTCATGATTCAGTTTGCTTTCTAGTTAACCTGGGACGCCTTCGCAGAGCAAACTGAAATAAATCGCACACCTTGCCCACTTTGTGTACCAATGTAGCAGTGTCAGGAGGAACCTCGTTCTGGAGGAAGATACATCTTCACACCGCACTTTTCAGATTTTTAGTAATAATACTTTTTAAAAAACCACAAATCACTTTCTGCACACTTCAAAAACGATGCATCACTTCAAGTTGATCCGTCGCATTAAATCTCAAAACAATTCACTGGTGTTAGTGGTTGTAATGTGAAAATTTAAAAAGACAAAGGGATCGAATACCGATGGTATGCACTGTAAAAACACAAAATCTTGACATGTATTTCTAGTGCAAATATCTTAGTACATCTAAGTAAGACAAAACTGACTTACAAGTAACTCTTCAACAAGACACAGCAGCTTGTTTTAAGTCAATTATTCTTTAATATTAATGAAAAACTACCAGTTCCACTGGCAGATAGATAATTTTATTTATAACAAGGCGATATTCTCATGTTATAAGTCAAATAATCTGAAAAACTTGTACTTTCTCATCAATATCAAGGAATAATTGACTTAAAACAAGCTCCTATTTTGTTGAAAAGTTACTTCTGAGTTAAATTTGTCTTACTTTAAGTGTCACTAAGGTATTTGCAGTAGAAACTGGACCAGAAATCCTCGGTGAGATTTTGTGTCTGATCATCGGCTTTACGTTTCCGGATCGTTTCCTGGTTTTTTGAATCGGGTTTGTTGCTGATGAATTTCTCGGCCACCTTGCAGATCGCGGCCGTTCGTTTCCACTCACACTCTCCGTCCTCCAACGTTCCGACAGCGTCTTTCTGCCGCAAATGACAAAAATCCCCCTGCCGCCGCTAAATCACACGCCGAGAGACGTTATTCTGTAATTATGAAACTATTTGCCCGTGAAATCTTCCAGAGTGGCTATTTCCTCTTCATCTCGCCCCCTCCTGACAGACTCTTCCTCTCTTCGACGCTCCCAACACTCCATCATGCTACTTGACCTGTTGCCAGATAACCTAATTAGTTTTGAGATTTTCTGCCGGGTGATTTTTCTTCCTGTCTTTTGTTTCCTGTGTCTAGCTTGTGGCGACCTGATGCATATTTTTTTTAACATTTTTTTTGTACTTCCCGCTGTGTGGACTCACATCCAGCATGGGGATCTCCTCTGGACCAGGCCCAGGGTGGTTGGGACCATTAGCCAGCACGCGGTTTGGCTGCTCCACGAACTGATTCTGGTTTTGATGTAGGTGACGCTGCATCTGATTCCTCTGCTTCCTGGAGAAAAATAATGTGTAAACATGACAGAAAGCATTAAACTCTTTATTCCCCCCTCCAACCCGACGTCCTTCTCTGTTTTCAAGAATCGTTTTTATTGCTCTCTGTGTTTTTTCTGACACGTCTTGCAAGGGAATAATCAGTTTTTTTCTGGGCAAAGCTGTCATGCTAGAGTATTGTTTTCATCTGAAAATGGAACATGTTCTTGTATTTTTGCTGCACGTTACTGTAAAATGCCGCAAACGTCATTAGTAGCTAAGAAGTTTAAGAAGTCAGTATCTTACCTACAAGTGATGAGAACTTGGTTTCTAGAAACAAAAATGGAGAAGTAAATTTCTGCCCAAAAACCCACCTCTGAATTCTTCCGATTGATTTAAGAAAATTTCTAGTAAAAACTTGGAAGCTCACAAAATTTCCCAAAAGTTGAACATTTTCAATTTTTCAAACTCAAAAGTTTCAAAGTTTTTTCTAGAAAATTTCTGAGCTTTTCTTAGCTTTTTTTTTTTTTTTACTTTTCAAACTCAGACATTTCCTTGTTTGTTCTAAATTCTTCTGAGATTAATGTCAAAATTTCTGATTTTTTTTCTAGCATATTTTAAACTGTGGGAGCTCAGCAATTCCCTTGTTTTTTTCTTGAAAATTTCTGAGAATAACCTTAAAATTTCAGGGATTGTTTTTGGGTGGAAATTGACTTTTTATTCCATCTACAATGGCCATCATCCGTCTTCGTAATGTTGGCCAAAATACGGAGGAGGTGGGAAAAATAATATAACGGTGTCGGCTTGATCTGCCATCATATTTTTGCTTTTTTACACTTCATTAAATTTGTACCTGGATAGGTACACCACAGAGTATTTTTTTATTAACCATACTTTTTGCTTTATCTTTAAGTTACGAGTAAACAGGACCACAAAGATTCTTTATCTTTTACTCAAACACAAACGGAGACACACTTATCCATCGTGCTTGGCTAAATAAAGCCAAAGTGTTTGTGAATTAAAAAAGTGATCAATTCGAAAAAATGTTGTAAACTGTAAACATTTCTTTTAATAAGGCACTTGGACAAAATCCATTTAATTTATTCTTGATTATTTAGTTTATTAAACAAACCTTGTGCCCAAGTTTGACTGCAACTGGAATACATTAGTTCTCTATTACACTGCAAAAACAGAAAATCTCACCAAATAAATTTCTCCACACCGTAAAAAAAGTCTCTAATTTCTGATATAAAACTGGAAGCTGTGGTTTTTATTTATATGACAAAATTCTGAAAATCACTGAATTTTACTGTATCAATAAGGTAAAATCCGTATTTATACGGTAAAATCCTGGTAACACCAGCTGCCGTAAATTAGAGACTTTTATTTTTACAGTGTAGTTTCAATGTCTATCTTATCACACTTGAAATGAGAAAAACAAACTTAGAAGTAGCTTTTCAGAGAGATAGAGAAGCTTGATTTAAGTCAATAATTCCATAAGATTGATGAAAAAGTTCTTGTTTCATTCACAGATTATAATCTACCAACGGAACTAGAACTTTTTCATCAATATAAAGGAATTATTGCCTTAAAACAAGCTCCCATATCTTGCTGAAGGGTCACTTACAAGTTAGTTTTGTCTTCTTTCAGGTGAACTCAGATATTTACACTGGAATCAGTCACACTTGGTAATATTTAGTGTTTTTTGCAGTGTGGTCATGTTTCTCCTTTCTCTCCCGCCGCATCAGGAACAGAAGCAGCAACTGATCACTGCTGCTTCCTCATACGGGGTAACAGGAGGGCTTACAAAGTCCTTCTCATGTAAGGAGAGAGAGAGCGCTTATCCCTCCTTCAAAGACATACTTGGTTTTACAGTAGGCCACCACACACACGATGCCGACCACTAACAAGGCCACGCAGATGCCTGTGATCGTCAGCACCCGCCTCTGGTAGACCTCCTCTGCCTCTGTGGATGAAAGCACACACACACACACACACACACACACGAGCAGACGCACAAAGTTCACACACACACAAACATTCATGCATTGGACATCACACATGCACACACACGCGCACACACACACACACATAGCGATTGAGCGCTACTCCATTTGTGGTAACGACAGAAGCAAGTTTTCTCACTGTTATTCCTCTCTACATCACATCCCCCCTGAGCTGTCTGAACAACTTGTGCTGCTTCATATTACATGTCTGACACCTGACGGCGCCTGCTGCGATAACCAGCTTCCACAACACACACACTGACTCCCGACGTCTGGGCTACACGACGCCAGCGGGCGTCCTGACAGACTCTCTGACACCTGCACATGACCGCGGGGGATGTGGTGACACACATGATGCGGGACGGGCGTCTGACTACATGCCTGGATGGATGGGATGAAAAGAACACATATTATCCAGGTAAAAAAAATGTAAATTAAAAATGATACAAATTTGGAGAAAAAAGACAAACACAGTTTGTTAACGCCACAGGAGCCGGAGTCTGGACTCTAATTCACTGCAGATGAATTTCACCGCGAAAAAGTAAAATATTACCAAGGATTTTTGGTCTAGTTTCTTTGTGCAGACTTCTTGACACACTTTGAAATATGATAAAACTAACTTACAAGTAACTTTTCAGCAAGATAAGTACACTTATTTTAAGTCAGTAATTCCTTTAATATTGATGAATAAGTTCTAGTTCCACTGGTAGATTATTTCACATATAACAATAAATTTCTCTCATGTTATGAGTGACATAATCTACCACTGGAATTAGAACTTATTCATCAATGTTAAAGGAATTATTGACTTAAAACAAGCTCCTTTATAAAGATGAAAAGTTATTTTTGTCTTATTTGAAGTGTACAATTATATGTGCACTAGAAATTAGACCAAAAATACTTGGTGATTTTTTTTGCAGTGTTAACGTTCATGATGCCGTAGGAGCAGAATATGTTTTTGTTATTATTATGCTCACTGAAAAGGCAACGTTGTGGAAAAAATATGCTAATTTCCTAATGAAATAATGAATGAACACCATATGTGGGTTGTTGCTGTTTTAATGTTAACTAAGTCTTAAAGACGGGATATTTTTGGGTTTTAACTCTTCCCCACCATCACAGTCCTATGAGACCTGCACAATTAATCAGTTAATTACACGATAAACTAAAATAAGCTCCACAAATTTCCACGAGGTTAACATTTCTTGAAGGGCAATTTTGTTCACAGAGGCTTCATAATCATTGTAGTTACAGTTCTGATTAGGTGTGGTTTTTATTTCCGTTTTGTTTATTGCGTTTTATTTATTTTGGTTGTATGAAATGTCCTCCAGTTCCAGCATGACGTGTTCAAAATTAAAAGTTTATTAGTTTTTGAGAGGGCAAACTTGCTTATGTCGTTAAAAATGGCCTCAAAATATTATTTTGAGACCATTTATTATCGTTTGCTGAAATATTTTCTATGACAATTTATCTGTAATTTTGTTATTATGACAGGCCTGCTTGTGTCCACTGTGGCTCTAGGAAGATATGAGTTACTTAGAAACTTGTGTTTTGGACAGATAATGCTTCTTGGCCTGTTTATTTTTATTTACATTTTGCCACATTTGTAAGAAAAATCTCTTGTGATGAGCATGTGGCTTGTGCTCCTCAAAAAAGATAAAATAAAATAAAATAAAAACTTGTCAAATATCGTCTACAAAAGCAGCTCATTCTGGAGTTTAGTCTTGATTGCCACATGTTGCAGGATCTCGTCTCGATTTCTCTCCGCATTAGCATATAAATATACATATAAATTTTTTAAAAATTTAATAATTTGTTTTGGCTGTGCAAACTGATTTACTCGTTTTAAATATTTGCTGTTTTTTGGCACAAAAACAGATCTGTTTTTCTGGACAGTTGGGTTAGGGTTAGGGTCATAACATGTTGTTATGCTCAAAAAAGTTTACATAATACCACCCCTGTAAGCAGTCTCATTGAATTGCGGTCCTTCTGGACTCCCATATTTTCCAATCGAGTCATTGGTGAGTTTGTTAAAACTTACAAGTTTTTACGTCAAAACATGCTGCGAATATAAGAGCTGGATTCATGTTAAGGCTTCTTTATTTATTTATATAGTCAGTAGATGTAATGCACACTGTGTGTGTTTTTTGGAAGGAATAAGTTTGTGACAACGTTGAAGGCGAGTCCAGCTGCTACTCTGGCGTAACGCTCTGTGTCTGAACAGCAAGCTCAACGACACAATGATGGAGAGAGCGACAAGCAGAGGAGATTATGAGGGGAAGAGGGAGAGACTGGAAGCAAAGATCAAATCAAAGTGAGGAGGTAGGAGGAGAAGAAGAAAACAGGACAGAGGAAGAGGAAGAGGAGGAGGAGGAAGGGGACGGGGCATCAGGAGAGAAACTAATTCCCAGGAAGCAGATAGTGACCTGACTCTGTCCTCTTTTCAGTTAACTGGATTATAGAGGTCCTTTATGTGTTAGTTCTGGTTAGATTACAGTCCCTTAATGCTGTCAGTTTTTTAAAACACAGCTGCTAAAATTTCATTTATATGGTGGAAAACTTAGGAAGTTATCTATTATTTGATGATTCAAGAAAAACTTATTGGTCAAAAATCTCTCATGGTTTTTATCACATCACATCCTGCAAAAACTAAAAAATTAAATAAAGGCTCTGGAACAGGAGGTAAGTGGGGTCAGGTGAGGACACAAGGAGAGTTTCTAAACAGGGCCTGATCAAGTTGCCTTGTGTTTGTGTTTGTGTGTGTGTGTGCGCGCGCGCGTGCGTCTCGTGGGTTTACTGGAGCAGCAATCTCAACAGCAGTTGTGACTTAGGAGAGGCGAGTTCTCGATTCTGACAGAGAGTCAATCAAGGGCGTAATAATAAGGACGGCCTTTATGTCACCAAGCTGTTTGCCTGCTTTTGGCAAAGCTCAGAGAAAATACTCGCAGCTTAGCGTCCTATGGCAGGCTGTTGAGGCCAAAACTGCCAAAACCCAGAGGACGAGGCAGACTCTGAAACTTCCTTTCATAGTTTTTTTCTGTTTTGGGCGAAAGCTTTAATGTAAAAAAAACTTTGATTCGAGTGTTACGTTCACCTCTGTCGTAAAAATGTTCACACCCAACGGACATTTTCACATGCTGTTGCGTTATGATCTCAGCATACTTCATTGTTTGTTTTTACAAGAAAGACTAGCACTAATGACATTATTGTGAAATGTCATTCATCTTACAAACAAAAATTTGGACTGCTTGTTTGCATTCAGCCCCCTTTTACTCTGATATCCCCAAATAAAACTGAGGGAAACGAATGACTTTCAGAACCTGCTGTGTGTAAAGTGATTTGTTAGAGAGCGTCAGAAAACAAACAGCATCTTTACTGTCAAGCCGACAGGTTGTGGAAAAGTTAAAGCAGCGTCAGGATATAAAAGAATATTCAAAGTTCTGAAAATCAATTTTTAGTAATTCAGTTCATTTAAAATTCATATCCACTTTATAGTGGCAATCTGTGGCTATAAAGCCGTAACTACTATGGAACAACCTCATATTATTAGAGTTTTTGTCTGATTTCACAGTTTTTCAACCCATTTTGGACTCTGCTGCAGAGATTTTGGCCCCTACACAGCAGCAGCCGTGAAGGAGGAGAAGCCAGACTGATTCCAGGAGCATAATCTATAGAAAAACCCCGGCTAACAACAGAGGAAAACTAGCACTGCACATCACAGCTGTACATAACTTAGCTCTCATATGGAGCTAAGTTAGGGCCATAAAGTTTGATAGAAAAAATTTGAAACTGGAGAAACGAAACAGAAACTGAAAAAGTCAAAACTTCTTTTCAGATTGAGCTTTTTTTTTCCTTAAAGAAAACCATGCCACTAATTTAGTTCCATACTCTCAGACACTGTAAAACAGTTGAAACTGGTGCAGAGAACACCGTCTCTCATCTTTCAGCCAGAGGTCAAATAAAATGGTTTTTGATCACAGCGTGTTAACATGACAAATGTCAGAACATAACTCCAAAATGAAAACATGAAAGTTGACGCTCCAATCAATTTGTTAGACTAAGTTTGAGCTACTTTGTAGAAAGGAACATGCAAAACATTCAGTTTCCAGATCGTCCTCCCACCACTTCCTGTTGTCTTCTTTTTTGTTTTCGCCAGTAGTAACATCTGGCTGTTGGTCAAATGTGACAAAAAAAAAGGTTTCTATTGCAGTTTTTGTGAAAATACACTGATTTCCATACGATTGGAAAAACATCTCATCCTAGCACCAAACTTTATATTGAAAAAGAAGTTTTGTTTTTTTTTTCCAAAATGTAGATGTTTCCATAGAGAAAATTTATTTTCACAATTTCAAATTGCACAACTTAAAGGTAAATGGAAACGTAGCTAAAGGCGCCCTCAGGACATTTTCAAAGGGGTGGCCAGGCCTGGACAGTAAAATCTTTAGTGTGGCATCGATAAAGAAAAAAGTAAAAATTATATACATACAAATGTTAATCGTGATTAGTTTTTTTAATTTTTTTTTTTTTTTACATTTATTTATTGGATTTTATGTTTACGTCTTTGTTGAAGAAGATGACAGTTTGCCTTTCTATGGCCTGGAGAAGAGTCTCTGGGGTGGCCAACATGTTTCAAGATGGGGCCGTGGCCCCCTTGTCCCCTCTTTGGGGATGCCCCTGTTGACTCAGCCACATACAGATGTTTTTTGTTATGCAAACTAAACAATGAAAGGCGTGCATATTTTTCCTTTTCCTGTCATAATTACACTCTATGTTGTGTTGATTTATGACATTACATCCAAATAAAAACATATGGAAGCTTGTTGCTGAAGCATGACAAAATGTAAGAAAGTCCAAAGGGTGTGAACACTTTGTTCTCCTGTCGTTAACGAGTGTCCTTCTGTAAAACGGCAGCTTTCCCAGAGTTGTCAGGTTAAAACGGGCAGAATGGACGCAAGGAAAGGAGGTTAGGTTTCTTCTTCTAATCAGGTTAGTGGGCAGAGGAAAAATAGAGGGACAGGTTGAGAGAGAGAGACCCAGCTGTTGGTTCAGGAGAGAAGATGGTTACAGTAATGTGAGACTGTGAGAGGAACTCGGCAAGCCATTTAAAGCACAATAAAATGAATAATAATGTTCCATACCCATAAATCCATTTTTGAAAAGATCTGCCAGCGCAGAAAGTTGTGGTGGTAAAAAAAACAAAACAAAAAACAAAAAAAGAAAGAGACACATGGTCAGCTGTGAAGTCCACTTTGGAGGCAGATACATTTAAGAAAATTATAATTTCCACATCAGTCGTTTGGACCGACGTATGTACCGTATTAGTAACGGACAGATAAAGCAGCTGGTTGACCCCCCGGAAGTGATGGGGGGTGGCTGGGCGGGAAGGGGAAAAAAAAGAAGAAGAAGAAAGAAAAAAGGCAAACAGAAAATGGGAAGCGAAAGGGAGGAAAATGAACCAGAAGCTGAAGGAAAGAGAAACCAGCAGCAGGCAGGGAGAGGGCATGCAGACACACGGAAAAACTGGAAAAAATAAAATAAAATAAAACAAATAAAAAACGACAGCGAGACAAGAAGCCACATCACTTACTGCTATAGTTAATAGACCTCATTTCTGGAGTGAACGACATCGGACAGAAATACAAAACAAATGAAGAAACAAAAGTAAAAACACAGACGGAAAGGAAGAACAAGAAAACAAAAGATAAAAAAAGCAGTGAGTTATTCTCCAACATAAAAAAAAAACACACACAAACACAAACGCTACAGTTGATGAGGCTGACACAGCAAATGGGGGGTGAGTGCTGTGACTCGTTTGACTAATGGCAGTCGTGTGCCTCCGTATCGATCGCAGCATACCTCTCTTTGTCCTGCTACTGCTGCTTACAGCTGTTCATAACCCTGCGCATAATTTACAGGGAAAATCATCCCAGAGTTCCCAATTTTGCTGTGTTACTGGGAGGGACGGAAGGAGGGAGGAGCTCAGCCGCTGTAATGGCTGGACCTGAACTGAGAGTGAATCTTCTCCAACACGGAGTAAAAAAACAGAAAAGAAAAGAAATGTCACACAGACAGTTTTTAAGATGCAGACACGGCGTGGCGACTGGGTGTGAGATACACGTCCGGTTAATTCTAACATCTTCTGACATGAAGCCAGTTTCGAATTCTTCCGAATGTTTGAGGGATTTTCATAACAGCAGACCAGGACGGTATGGCATGAAGCTTCTGGAAACACCAGGTCTCATTCCTGGGGTTGCTTGGACAGCAGCATGAAGACAACATGGAAACTCAGGATCAAGCTAGAGCGTAAGCTCCTCGTGTGAGTTTTGCCAACTCTGACTGCGTCTCACTGAAAGCTGTCCCCGCAATCGCAGGAAAAGCAACAAAGCACACCCCATTTGCGTCGATGTTATTTAAGGGAGCAGTCCAACATTTTGGGGGAATCCACGTGTCGTCCCAGCGAGTCTGAATGAAACTGAAATGGAACCAGCTGAAGTTCTGAACCTGCTGGTAACATAGTTTTCATTAAGTTCCCCCCCCCCGTCTACAAAGTACGAGTGTCGCTTATTTTGAACTATATCGGGATGATGGGTGTGCAATTCACACTGCGTCAGATTTTGTTTCGGTCTTAGTGCTGTCGATCACTCTCGTGTACACACTGCTCAACGTGCTAACTTACCGTTAGAGGAAAACTGTTTATCGGTGGCTATGCTAACTAGCCTTAGCATTCATGGCAGCCTCCGATTTGGGGAACTAGCCGTAGCTTAGCAGAGAGGAAGCATTAAAGGTGATTGGCAGCGCTAAGACCCTCCTCCTGGCTCTGATTGGTTGTTTGTAACCGAGCTGTGTTTTTCTGAAGATGGCTTCAGGACTACGAGGAGGAGGCAGAGGAGTTCGATCTCATTATCCATCAGGACATAGTGGCAGTTTTAACAAATATGCAAAAATACATATTATTCATAAAAGTTACGTACTGCAGCTTTAAATGTAGAGGGAAGTGAGGCAGAGTTTTACTAATGGGACTTTAAAGCTAGCTGAGGCCTTAGCCAATGTTCACTTTTTTTTCTCCAAGGATTTCCCAAAATGTGAAACTACTCGCTTAAATTAATGTCACTGTAATCATAAGCCCACAATGAGAATTCCCGAAGACGTTACAAGTTTAAAGAAATGATCAAGCAGCATTTAAACCACATGCTGTAACAGCAGCCGGTCTGACAGATGATCCATGGACGCTGCGGTGGAAACCAAAGGTCAGGATGCTTCACTTTTCTGATCATTTTGAGAGTTTCAACCTGCCTGGACGTCAGAGGAAGAATTAGACCTTTCTAAACACTTCAGAGGTTTCTCTGAAACGTACGTGTACTGCACTTCTCAGAAGTCTTGAATTTGGGAATTTCTGGTTTTGCCTGGATCAAATTCATACAAATCTCTTGAAAAAATAAAACAAAAAACTTTTTTTTCAGCTAAATTTCCCATCAAAGCAGTAAAAACTTGCTATGATGCCTGAAAGGCCAGATGGAAGAACAGAAACGTTGTTTTTTTCCTGACGGAAGTTTTTTTTTTTTTTGTTTTGTTTTACAGTATGCACAATTATTAGGCAAGTATGAGCGTATCATCATTTCTAAACATATTTTCTGATTCCAAACTGGATAAACTTGAATAATTAATCTTAGCAGGTGATGACTGTCAAGTTCGCTGCAAAAACATACGATCTTAACAAGGATTTTTGTCTAGTTTTTTTGTGCAAATATCTTAATACACTTGAAATAAGACAAATATAACTTATAAGTAACTTTTCAGCAAGATACAAGATCTCGTTTTAAATCAGTGAGTTCTTAATATTGATGAAATAGTTCTAATTCTAGTGGGATGTTTTTGAAAAATGTTTTTTTTTTATGTCAGAAATGTTTATTGTAAAGTTTTGAGATGTTTGTTTTAAAATTCTCACTTAGGCCAATACAAATCAAAAAGCCAGGAGGGAAAATGTCTGTTTTTCATTTAGTTGCGTAATAATTCTGCACAGCAACAGTGTAGACATCCTCCTAATAAAAGCCAAAAGCTTCACTTTTACTTTCTTGAAAACTCACGTTTGAGGTTTGAGTTGTCATTTTAGATCAACACAGATCACTGAAAAATAAAGACTTGCCTAATAATTGTGCACGCAGGAAGAAACCAGCACCAATGGACCATCGACATGGACGAGCAATAAAACATTTCAGGAAAAAAAAAAAGAAAAGCAAGTTCGAGCTTCTTTGCAGAGTCAGCTCTCTGTTTCATGTAAGTCTGAATTAAAAAAGCAGACACAAACTAAATCTGCTGCTTACAAACTCATAACCTTTCATAGCATTTTCGGTTCAAGTTTTCAACATTTAATCACTACGATGTCAGGCATGCATGCTAGCATGAAAACAGAAATAATACAAAAATCAGAACATTTCAGATTCACTGCAAAAACACAAAATTGTACCAAGTATTTCTGGTCCAGCTTCTAGTGGAAATATCTCAGTTCACTTAAAGTGAGACAAAACTAACGTACGTAACTTTACAGCAAAACATGAAATCTTGTTGTAAGTCAATAATCACCCATTAATGAAAAAGTTCTAGTTATATGAGAAATAATCTGATTATTTCACTGAGATGAACACCTTGTTAAAAGTGAAATAATCTGCTAATGGAACAAAGACTTTATCGTCAATATTAAGTATTTTTGTTTAATCTCAATGATTTAAAAAAAAAATCCCGGTTAAAAAAACAAACAAAAAACCAATAAGGTTAAAAAAAAAGACTTAAAAAAGCTCCTATGTTTTACTGAAAAGTCACTTGTAAGGTAGTTCTGTCTTATACTATACTTGTACTAAGATAGCGGTTCTCAACGTGGGC